TCTCTCTCTCTCTCTCTCTCTCTCTCTCTCTCTCTCTCTCTCTCTCTCTCTCTCTCTCTGCTATCTATATTTGCTTTTCTGCGTTTATTGTCCTGGCTCATATTGTCCGTGTGTGTATAGTGCATGCGTAGCTAATAAGTCAACGAAGGAACCACCCAGCCAACCACCTCCAACAAATCTCCACAGCCCTCATCCACTCCTCTCACCAAGCCATCCGCATTCTTGCCAAAGTGTGCAGCATCTACCAAGACCGTAACACAGCCCCCCTAACGGTGGCACAGTTCCGCTATTGAAGGAGACAGCAATTCGCGCGGTTCTGGCCGCGTGGATAGTCCTCAATGGTCGGTTGTACGGATGACGCAGGAGCATCATATACTGGAAGAAAGTAGCGACAGGGAGGTAATGGAGAGGCTTGGGGTCACGTAGAGTGTACCTTTACTGCCAGCAGGCTTGTTTTACGGCGGCACACTTCACGTTCATTATGTTGTTGATGAGGGGGGTGTGAAGTATGTTGGGGCAAGTCTAATGTATGAATAACGTGAGATTCGTGAGAAAGATCGCATATTACACTAATTAGGTATGGATTGACTGGGTATATCATGGCATTGCTCATTCTTCGTCATTTGCATCTTCCACCGACGCAGAGCCCTTGGACGGGGTAGGTGTTTGAGCCCTATCTTGTCCTTCTTCTTCTTCCTCCTTGTTGTCCTGCTTCTCCTCTGCATTGTCATTCTTGTGGCTCTCGTTGCCCTCTGGTCCATGCTCCAATGGCTGTTTCTGAACAGTCTTTCCCTTGCCCTTACCGCTGTCTAGCGGCCTCTCCGCTTCGCTCTTGAAGTATTCCGTTCCAGACTCCTCTACTCCAGGCGTCACACCATCCTTGCCTTTCTTCTTGGCTTTCGCTCTGCGAATTAGCCGATTGTGGTACTCCTTCCTTTCAACTTCGGGATTCTCCTCCAAAATCCGTCTAGCACCCTCCCGTCCAACCACAGGCAACCGATCAACCCCATCCACCCCCTGGGGGACAAGCTTTGGATCCAGCAATCCGACCTGGACCAGAACACTCGCCTGATCCCAGTATACATGCTCAGAGTACAGCCTACCCGCCCGCAGACTGACAATGCTGACGAAGATAACTTCCACCTGCTTATTAGTAGGCGGCACACCAGGCAACATCCAAGGCACCTCCTGCGTATGCTTGAATGTCGCGTGCAATTCATCAGCCACCCTATCAACCCCGATTGTCCGCGAGATTAACCGTAACCGCATAGAAGGCGGTAGTTGGCGCAGAAAGCTCTGCTCATAGAAGCGCCGCAAAGCGTGGTTGCCGATGCCCCCGCTTACTGTGGGGACGTATGTTACCGCAGGGTTGACATGGCTCACATATGGTTCCATGGTGTTAGACAGGTTCATGGAGAAGAACTTGGCTGTTTATATTAATCAGCAGATCTATTTGGACCGGCCAAAGACTTGCTTCCTGGATGACATACCTTCAAGATGTTCTTCCCATTTCTCCTCAAGATCAATGTCCTTGTTGAACCCTCTCCGGAGAACTTGTAACGTTCGACTAAACGCCAGGTCGCATGCCAGTCGATCATACTCATCTAGATCATGCTCTGCAAACCCGGGCTGCACATATTCATACGTATACGCCGTATGACCGATGTTCAGTCGCTCGCCAGTCCCCATCCCCGGGTTAATCTGCCGTGTACTCCGCTTCTTTTTCCCCTGCAGTCCCACCAGAGTCGGAATGGTCGTCACGTCAACAGTGGTCCCAGCCAAGTGTGTCAGGATCCGGACAGAAGGCGGATAACGCGACCGGGTATCGGGGATATTGGTGGGATAATAGGTGACCAAAGCGCAAAGACGACTACAGTTGGTGGGCTTGAGGTAGTAGTCCAAGCAAAATGAAGCAGCGTCCCCGAAGGCTGGAAAACACAACATCAGTTCTGCCCATACTGGATCCTATACTCAAACCGGAATGGACAACGGAGAGAAGAAACTCACCCAGAACCGCATAGTTCTCCCCCACCCCCAATCCCTCCTTCACACTCTTCAGTCGGGCAACATATTCCCTCGCGTCACCGTCATACGGAACATAGATCACATCGAAGCCCTCGTCGCGCCAGTTCCGCAAGGTCTCAGTGTCGAAATCCGGTGTTTCAGCCGAAATGCACAGTCGCGCTTTACCAGAGGCGTTGTTGTATAGGAAGCCTGTTGCTCCCGGTGCGTGGATGGAAATGGTGGCCATTTGCCTTTCTTTCCTTAGTTTGTTTTCGGTACCCTAACCACGGGTAAACTCAGTCGAAATTCGGTAGCTCATGAACAGTACCACGCTTGAGAAGAATTGGGGTTGTGGTTGATATACTTGCTCTAACGAGTTCTTGAGGGCGGCATACGTCATGGGGTGTCACACCGCATACGTCATCGGGGGTGGATCAGATGATTGGGTGCTTCCTTTTCATGGTAATTTGTATACATTTTATATCCTCTTGGAATCACTTCCTCCGAGGTCTGTGGGTTCGTTTCATTGCTAAATTACCTGGAAAACGAAAGATGACGGGCTGCCTTTCGGTACAGGGTAACCCTATGATCTATCCCTAATACTGCACAGCCGTCCATGGGCCTGGCGCCTGTACGGCCACGTGACTGGCGTTAATGTTGAGTCGTGCTACAACCAACTCGTCCAAGACAACCTACGAAGAGGCCAGCGGTGCTCCTGTCGAAACTTTCCCAGTCGATCGGGATCGGAGGCTGTTCACCTTGAACAGTCATTTCCTCGACCGAAGCATTTCTTCCTACCTGTTTTAGCGGTTCAAACTGGCATCTTCTCAGTTAGCAGCAGTCACGCTGAACCTCCTCTTAAATTCCATGGCTCATGGTGTAACCCTCGCGCAGTGTCTCTTCCAATTTGCCGATGTAGAGTACAGAGCCTGAACGTTGCAAGGTGGCTGCACTCTGTATGTATGCTCCCAGTTTACACTTTACGATCCTCATCGCTTATGGATAGCGTTCAAGTCTTCAACACTAAATGTGGAATGCGACTGGCCAATGGGGTCAGCTTTATGAAACTCATCACATTGATATTCATTGCAATTCCGTTTGTTTGCATCCCATTTTCGTACATCATCAGAGTCATCGATTAGACAGAGTGGACCATAGCATCAGTTCATATTCACGATCCGATACACCTCCAAGCTACAAGTGCAATCCGCACTCATCACCAAATTCAGCAGAGCGAACACCAAGATGATCATCTACTTTGTCTTCTACTCCGTACGGAGTACAGGCAACTATAATATCTCACCGAGTTTTTCAACACCCCACTAGTCAGATCGGATCAGCCTGATAGTAAGAGATAGTGCTGAAGATCCCTTAACCGCTAACCCGGTGGTGTCGAGTACCCACATAATATTGGACACATTTTTTTCGGCGCAGCTGGTGAGTATGGGGGCCTGCATCAATGCGGCGACACAGTGTTGTTCTTTTTGCGCGAATCAGTGAACCTGATCCATCCATGAGTGATGTACAATGCATGTGATATATCAGATACCACATACGAGGCTCTCCACCCTATATCAGACCTAGAAACAAGCGAACACTCGAATGATGGGCATCAGGTCAATAAATTCTCTTGGCCACAGATCTTCCATTCCACAAATGCATTTCATTCCCAAAAGAGATCAAGTTGACTCTTGGCGATTCAAGTCGGTTTTTGATTTCCTGTTTCTTTAGCATTTACCATGATTCATCCCTTGTTCTCGGGCTGCCATCCCTATGTATAATTAAAGATAACCCTACCAGTCAGTGAGAGAGGGCAAAAGCGAAACAGAAAAACCAAAATGCGATCTTCTCTTCTCCTCGTCCTCTTCTCAGCGGCTGTAGGGGCAAAAACTGTGTCCAACGGACAAACACTCACCCTCAACGGCGTACCCTACTATCTCAGTGGGATCCCGATATCGAATTTCTCATGCAATGCTTTCGATAAAGCAAGTGGCAATGTCGACATCTTCCCATTTACAGTCATCCAGACTTCTAGCACCGTGGATGGTAGTTTCCTGAGTCAAACAGTTACCAATTTTACCCAGCAGGATGATGTGTTTCAACCTGCCTTTCTTCAGACCGTCTATTTGACATCCTCTGACGAAGCGTCGAAAATCAACGAACTGTCTGGCAGCGAGGCTTTGCACCAGTTCGACAATCAAATGCTTCTAACCGAATCTAATGCCTCCCTGTCTACGCCCCTTCCGAGTGGGCCTTACTTTGCTTCCGTCCGCACAGGGCACGTTTTCAGAGCTTATCGTCTCTACTCTGACGACTCTTTGGCCTTCATCTCGGCCGCAATTAGCGATGAGAATGGTGGCTTTATCCCCATGACTGGAGTTACAGAGGGCGTCATGACGAAGAATGTCGCTGTCCCATCCCGTCTCTACTATACCCCTACTGCTGAAAGGCCTTTAGCTGGTCTCCGGCTAGGTGTGAAGGATATCTTCCACGTTAAGGGTCTTAAAACCAGCGGTGGAAGCCGTGCGTACTATTACCTCTACGACGAGCAGAACATTACCACTCCCTCTGTGCAACGGCTCTTCGACTTGGGTGCTGTAATGGTTGGAAAGATGGGTACTGTTCAGTTCGCCAACGGTGATCGTCCTACTGCTGACTGGGTTGATCTCCACTGTCCCTTCAATCCACGAGGAGATGGATATCAATACCCTAGTGGTTCTTCGTCTGGTTCTGGTGCGGGTATTGCCGCGTATGAATGGTTAGATCTGACTATTGGCAGTGACACGGGTGGTTCCATGCGTGGACCTGCCGGTGTACAAGGTGTTTATGGTAACCGACCATCAACTGGAGCTATTACTATGGAGAATGCCTTGCCACTCTCGCCCCCGCTCGATACCGCCGGTATCTTCGCACGAAGCGCGTCTTTATGGTCAAAGACTGTCCAAGCTTGGTACCCCAATTTCAACCGCAGTTATCCATCCCGCCCCAAACAAGTCTATCTCTCTCATAGCAACTGGGACGAGTACACCACGCCGGAAGCAAACGAACATCTCGAAGCATTCATGCAGCAACTCGAAGATTTCCTCGATGCGAATCGCACCATCGTCAATGTCACAGAACGTTGGTCAGAAACCCACAACTCACACCCTTTGATCAACCTTCTCAACACAACCTACGCCTACCTTGTCTCCGTCGACCAATGGAATAATCTTGCCAAAGGCTTCTTTGCGGACTATGCCCAGGCTCACGATGGCCGTCGTCCATTCATTAACCCCGGTCCACTGGCGCGCTGGGAGTGGGGCCTAGCAAATGGCGCAAATGCATCCTACGACGTCGCCCTGCAGAATATGACTATCTTCCGAGACTGGTGGTCAACGTCCGGCTACGGACGACCTGACAATGAATCCTGCTCGGAAGGTATTTTCGTACACGCCTGGTCGACTGGAGCAGCAGACTACCGCAACCGATACTTCAACCCCCCTGGTCCCCCATTCGGATTCACAGACGACAATATCGCCGTTTTTGCAGGCACACCCGAAGTCGTGGTCCCATTGGGCGAGTCTCCATATAACAGTACCATCACATTGCATGAGGAGTATCTCCCTGTTTCAATCGCCCTACAGATGGCTCGAGGCTGCGATCGGGCACTTGCGGAGTTGGTGGATGATCTGGGCAATGCAGGAATTTTGAAGCCTGTTTCTGCGGGTTCAAGATTATATTCTTCTTAATTAGATTTCGCTATGTGTTATAGATTTTGGTAGATATCTTGATGTATCTGCCTAATACATCCCACCACAATTGTGGAGAATAAGACTCGCCTCCGTTCAGGAGACGGTATCCAGACAGTTAAGCGCTATATTAAAGATAAGCTTGAATGCCGTCCAACGCGGAATTATACAATCTGCCCCTCCATATACCTCCAGCAACTGGTTTCTTCAACCTATGGAAGTGGCCAGATGCATGGACGACGACGAGCCTATCGTCAAAATCTTTGTCCTACTCGCCATCCTCTCGCGCTCGGTAGCACGACCTGAATATATGTCACTTCTCTCTTTCATACGGTAACGAGCTTAACATCACCACATCCTATGTACGCAGATCTTCGACCGTAAGGACAAAAGCTTGGACAGCGACTGCATCTTCGCGGTCAAGGATTCTCTCGTGGTGGATTTGTGCCCCAACAGGCGATCCTCAGGCCGGTCTTGAGCTGACCTACGATGTCAAGCTTGTGGTGTGCGATTCTGCTGATGGTGCATAGTCCTGGATTTCATCTTGGCGACGATATGCAATATCGTTACTTATGTAGACCTGTTTGAGAATGGAACATTTTGTGTTCTTATGAAACAAGAGATGATACTCCTTGTCCGTGGCCTCAACATCTGCCAGTTCAAAGGCAGACAACAGCGGATTCGATAGGCTGCCCGCCATGCATGGTTAGATATTAGAGATCACGTGTGAGTACGTCTATTAGAGACAATGGTTCACTGTGTTCAAGCTGTGATCGTGGCAGATGGGTAGTACACGAAAAGTTAGGGCAAATCGTATGTATTGGGATATCGAGGGGGTTCGGACTCTGGGGCATTGTGATATCCATCGTACATGCACGATGGAGGTGGCCTTATTCTTGGCAGACCAATCGTTGCTGTAGATCTCTCCGTTGGATCGCAAAATATCAGTACCGAGGGAAACCAATTAAGACGATTTATTAAAGGCAGATTCTTTCCACCGGAGGTGTAGCTGAGGAGAAATTGCAGGTTCTCACTGGTCGTTGACCAAATTGGAAGGAATGGTATTGTTGCCTCAGCATCAAAGCCTTTGTCCGCCTGATAAATATTCCAATTTCTTATACAAATCGAACGAACACGCCTTTAGTCCCATCAATAGATTGTTTACGCAATACCATGGATGGTGCTGTACTGTATCACGGCTGTATGGGCTATGAGTGGGCCAGAACCACTTCTTCGTAAACAGAAGTCTGCCAATATCAACTGAGACGCGACCGTATCTACCTTACATGCACTACTATGGCCTGCCCAAGAATAGTCGTCTCCTTTGTTATCTCTGCTATCAAGTCCTTCTGGTTTATTTCGATAGAAGGCCGGTCTTGAGGACTAATCCAAAAGAGAAGAATTTGCACGATTTCCCATCCATTTCATTCACAAAATCCACAATGACAAGTTCTCAAACCAGATATTCTCTCAGAAACTCCGCTTGGGTCGGTGCAACGCGTTTGAAGCCGTCCCCGGCATAACCATCAAAATGGCCGCCAGGGAAGATGTACAATTTCTTTGGCTCGCGGGCCCGAGAATACGCCTCCAGAGCAATATCAGTGGGGGTTATGACATCATTCTGCGCCACAGTCATCAACAGCGGGGTGGGCGAGATGCGGTGGATATGCGCCGAAGGATAATACTCGCGAGCAGCCTCGAGACTGATCCAAGAAGTCAGCGTTTGGACCGGGTTGGCTTGAGCGGAGGAAGGAGAACGTACCTTTTCATCGTGATCTCATTTTTCCAGCTAGACTTGGCTTCCCACGCACTAAAGAACCGGTAGCTATCTGGAGTGGGAAGGGCAGATGGCTTGAGAGGGTCTTCATCTACGACCTTCATCATCGCAGCGGGTTTGCCTGCGGCGCGGGCTAGTCTGTCTAATGTAACAATCAGAGATTGACCAAGCGCTCTTGAGTGACACTCATACCTTCTTGAAATGTCTTGTTCACTGCCTCCACCATATCAGGCCGGATGAGGCGATTCATATTCGCCCACCCGTCTATGAACGGAGCATGCGAGAGTACCACCTTAACGCGCCGATCAACTGCCCCAACCCACAGCACATGGCCCCCACTGTAAGAACTGCCCCAGATGCCGATGCGGTCGGCATCCACGTCGGCGCGCGACTGCGCGTACGTGATGGCGTCTGAAATGTCGCTGGTCTGTTGACTTGGGAGGATCTCATGGCGAGGCTGGCCTTCTTTCGTATCGCTGTCGCCGAATCCTCGATTGTCATATACTAGACAGCTAATCGGCAGATTCTGGGTGAAATATTCTGCAAATGTGTCCAGGTCCATTTCTTTTAGAGCGGAGAACCCGTGAGACATCACAAGGCATGGTAGCCTTGTTTCGGATGGCTTCGTTGAAGAACGGAAGAACCATCCTCGCAAGGTGACATGGTCGGCTGTCTGGAATTCGATGTTTTCGCGAGGCATGTTGGGTCGTGGTTCAGCGTGATTAGGTAGGTTTGAGTATGTCTTCAAAGGGGGGGGGGGACTGAGACAAGGTTAGGAGAGAGTCCTCGTGTTCCCAACGATTGTTTAAATCCACCCATGATCATCTAAGGCCACCCATGATCGATTAAGGCCACCAATACGTCAATTAAGGCCACCCACCCTTACGTCGTTATGAATTATGGCAACCACCCCGCAACAACAGCTCTTGCTTTCTTCCCCGCTTCTCTTAATAAATTACTATAGAACTACTTCACTAGTGCTTTTTTTATTTCTGATATATAAATACTACATATAACTAATAAGTCTATCTTATGATCCTTCATCTTTCTTCTCCAGCCGCCTTTTTTTTTTTTTTGTTTTCTGCTAACTTCTCTCGAGGACGGATATATTGGCTATCTACGCGATTACCGCTGGCGGTATCTTCTTTGCTGGGTCGTTCCTTGCCCGGATCATCGCTATTCTTGCGCATCGGACAACTTTATTCTCTGTTCTAGTATCTCGACGCTTGACTATCCCTTCTATTATCCATAGACGTCGACTCTGGGGCCCGTGGTCACGAGCCAGTGTTATCCTTCATGCGATATACACCGCAACAAATGTCATCCTCGTCCATTTCAGAGCAACATTGCTGACCAGTGCTGGCCGCCAGGCTGGAGAGTTAGCCTTGATCAATCTACTAGTAGCTCCTCTAGCCACATTCGTAATCTATTATTCTCTCTATCTAGGGAAGGTGTGTGCGAATAGAATGTACGTGCAGGTATCAGGGCAAACCATGTGATCCCAGTGGATCCCAGTGAGAGCACCAGGAGATCAACAAACTTCCGTCCGGAGACCACTGCTAGAGAATACACTGCCTAGGTCGCTAGTGATACCCTTCTCATTTTTCTAAGAAGATGTCTCAACGTAACTTGTTCAGTTCCGTATATCAAGAATCTAAGATACGTAGCGCTCAGTCAAGAAGAGGCATTGCACCTGAGGAAAGGAGCTCTTGCCAGCGCATCCGCCTGTATACCCCAAATATGCTTGCCTAGCATGGCTAGTCGAGGGCCAAAGTTCCGTAAAATGACATCGACATCCCGGCCATATTCGTGAAGCGCTTGGATGTACATCTCATCCGTCCCGAACGTTGCAATCCCCCACATTCTCTTCCATCTTTGGATTGCCATGGCTGCCTCCGGACAATCACTCCGGATATTGGTTGCAAGCATGTAGAACGAGGATCGCTTGGCATGAAACCTCGGATGTTTGAACAGTTGCACTGAAGCAAAACTTGCAAATGTATACAGTAATTGTACGGTATGTGGCGATTCGACCTTATGAAGAAGAACAATCATGGTTCCCCCGAGCTTGACATGCTCCAATCCAAGCGCCAGCTGGGTTAGGGTCAGCCTGCTAGCTTCTCGACGCTCACGGTAGGTGGCCCTTTCATGGTTTCTCAGCACCTGACCGTCACATATGACTAGCTCAAATGCCCGCCCTGGCCTCAATTGACGAGGCAAGAATTTTCCTGCATCTGGGTGATCGTTCGGGATATCCAGCCGGCCCATATCTGCAGCCAACAGGGTGATGTCAAGGAACTTCAGGGAAACATTGGGATTCTTGGGCAGAAGAACATTGTGACCTCCTTCACGCTTGGGTAAGCTGAATCCTATTGCCCGGGCTCCGGGATTAACTCGCAATGCCGTTGCAAGAAAGCCCCCCGGTGCCATACACATATCCAGGATACATTGTTCATCTCGATGAGGGCTATTGATTCGGAAAACACCGGTAAGCTGGTGCATGTCATACCCTATGTCTTTCATCATTCGGAAGAAATGCTTGGCTGTTTTCCTGTCTGTATTATCTGCCGCTTGACGCTGCTGTTCGAAAAACCGATCGCCCGCCGGATTTTCCCAGCCCTGTCTACCTCGTCAACCTGATGCCCTTGAAATGACCGGCTGATCCTAACCTTCTGCCGAAGCTCGGACAGTCGTTGAAACTCCGGTACCTCACTGAGCAGGTATTGTGCTACGATACTAGCGGGACTATGGATCTGGCTTCCATGGACGGCAGGTGCTGCGTCCTGAGGACCGGTACCCTGAGATACATCCTGTAGGACAGGTACAGGGACGGAATTATAAATCTGGCACCCTCTATTATCTATTATGGAAGACATTTCGTGCGAGGAGCTTGGTATGGACTATAGAAGAAGAGGAGGAAACAAATCTGTACGTAAAGGAAAGGGGGGTTGACTTTGTATACATGTAACGTGGGCTGATATCGTTGAGTATTAACAGCCACTAGACGACCACAGCAAAGTTTTCCTCCTCCTCCTCCTCTTCTCACATGTTTTATTGACGTGGCATGGACAGGTATTCCAAAAGTTATCCAGTGCTAATCATGTCTCGAGGCCGCCCACCACGACGGGAATAGCAGGTACACTAGGCAGAATTCAGGAGGCCGAAGCAGCCAAAGGATGGGCTCCAGGTGTAAAGCATACTGCATAGGTCCAAGTATTAGTGGAACTGATGACAAGGATGTTGCGGGGAATGGAAGGGCACCAGAGCCAGGGTAGGAAATATGATTTCCACCCGTGTTTCTTGGTCCACTCCTCGCAAATATTGTCCACGTCGACTGCTCCTTGAGGCTCGAATCGCGGGCTTTCCAGGATTCTGTACTCGCCTGCAAAGAGTTAGCGTGTATCCGGATAGCCCTAAGAGGGGGGGGGACGTCACCACAAGAATTAGGCTAGTTTGGAGGTATCATATCTCATAGGACTGCCGTACTCTACCTCGAGATCAACGTTGACCAGTGAATGATCTCTCTTGGCAAGTACTAGACAATCAGAGGGCGAATCAAATCCAAATTTTACAACCGCTCGCAGGTGGGCAATCAAACCAGAGAATGATTCTTACACATACTGGACTATCCCTGCAAGCAAGACTACGCGTGGAGGTGCAGAATTTCCTTCAATCTTGGCGACATGCATAACTTATCAGGACTCTGCCCGACATGGGGCGACCAATAAAAATAGAATCTGGGCGGTTGGTGGGTGGTGGTCCTAAGCGGATCTAGGAACAGGGGTTTTGTAGAATGACCGGGTACGGCGCCATGGCCTTTCTGCTCTTACTCTCCCATTACCATTGGCACAATCTGATGGCGATGGTTGATGCATGGCCACGTCATGGGCGACCTGCACATTCTATGCCACTGGGCAAAGCATAGTACCAGCAAGAAGCTGATGACTGACTCGATTCATGGGCACCCACACAGCGGCTCGCATTCGCTTGTTCAAGGCGGCATAAATAACGGCAATCGTGATTTTTCTTTCTTTTTTCTTTCTCTTTTTTTTCTTTTTTTTTGGTTTTGAAATAGAGCTCACCTTGTCCTATCTGAAAGATACACGAGTTCTTGATGAAGAAAGTAAAGAAGAAAAGAAAGTCAGCAGTATTAGAATCCGCTGGTACAGCTGTTGCACCTACCGAGCCGATTTCTTCAAACGAAGAAATTATCAAAAGAATGAAAGACCTTGTCCTTAGGTTAGACACTGCTATCAATAATCCTATTGCGCGCAATTAGCTAACTACGGGCATTCCAATTAGTCATTATCTCAATCCGAAGTACAGCGATCTGTCTATCAAATGTGGTGATGAAGTTGTTCCAGCCCATCAGAACATTATCTGTCCTCAATCACAGTATTTTGAGGTCGCTTGCAATAGCCGCTTTAGAGTGAATACTGCAGTTCTTTTCAGGCACGATCATTAGATTGATCCAAACGCTTATAGGAAAGCAACGGCGAGATCATCCTCGAGGATTGTGATCCTATGCTCATCAAAAAGACACTCGAATTTTTGTACACGGGCGACTATACTTATGACGGTTCTCCAAATACCCAAGCCTTCCTGAACTCGAAAAATAGTTCCGAATGTTCGCCCCAAACAGGGGCAGACCTAGATTTTGAGTTGGATGGGGACGTCGGACCATATCCACGCCCACCTCGGAAAACCAGTACCGCAAAGTTCCAAAGTTGCCAGGCCGTCTTCCACGCTCAAATGTACGCACAAGGTGATTATTTTCAGATCAACGGGCTTAAGACGAAAGCCAGGCAATCCTTTGAAAACTCTTTCTTAGAAAATCCTAATCGAGATTCATTTAACTCTTCCGTAATTGAAGTATACAGCTCAACGGAAGAGCACGACCGTGGACTGAGAGATCTTGTTGTCCAGCTCACGACGGACAATCTCAGGACTCTGAGGAGGGAGGAGGATCCTATATTCTGTGACAGTCTTTTGGAATCTGTTCCCAAATTCATGCTGGAAGTCTGTCGTTCGACCTTGGACAAGTGTGCTGAGTATGAGAGGCAGTATCGAAGCTGGGATTACTAGAAAATTCCATTGCCCTTTCTATCCTATGCATTTCATTGCTTTTTTTTTTGTGGGTGGGGGGTTTGTTGCTATATAGTAAGTAGCTGCCAGCATCACTCTCGTTCTACTATGACAGCCTCCGAAGAGAGCAGAGTTACGAGGCCAGTCGAGACCTTCTCGATGCTCAAGTCACCTATGATGCTCCCGCTCGCGTCGACACTCTGACCAGCCCAAGTCACGCCAGTTCTCGCATCGGAACTTTGGCCCGTCAAGCGTCTAACCCTTAGGTTGGACCCAAGGCTAGAGGCAACGTTGAACTCCCTTCTCGACCGGGTAGTTGTCCCGTTAAAGTACGCCATATTCAAGATAACAAGCTTCTGGATCTGGTCATTATCGTAAATAGCAAAATGCACAGCGGAACTGGAATCAAGCGACGTGATCGGCGCGACCCTAGGAACCTTAAGGTCTGCTACGAGATCCGCAATGAAGAGCATGCTATAGTATCTATTTCCCTCTGTGCATCAGTTATGGGCAGATTACAATGTCTCCGAGGTGGACAGGTCATGAGACTCACGTAGGGTTAATATGGGGAACTGGCGATGTATCCGTCGGCAACGGCTCCCACGTAGAATAATAAAAGTCGCCTTTGCCGTTATGGAAGAAGAATCGATCAATCCCAGCTGTGGCGCCAGTGAGTGCGTAGTCTAGTTGCCAGAGTGCTGCGCCAAGCGTGTTCGATACCCCGTCCTTCCCGTGGCAGGCAACGGAGCCTGTTTCGCCCATGTGGATCATTTTTCCCAGTGGCTTTGCGGCGGATATCTCGCTGCTGTATTGATCAAGGAGGGCTAGGGTCTGTTGGTGGTCGAGGAGGTTTCGTAGGTCGACTTTGGCGGCGTCTTCGTCTGTTTACATTTAGAGAGGGGTGAGAACTAGAATAGTGGCAGGAAAGAGGAAACATTGTTCAAACATATATGCATGGGGAAAACATACCCGTGCATATATTCCAAGGGTAGCCATGGACAGAGAAGTATTCGATTCCTGGAATGGACTGTGGTACGTTTAGTCTCACTAGTTCCGAGATACTCATATCCGGCTTGAATAATTCCGGGCCTGCAAATGATGGAAACTGGAAGCTGGAAGTGGCGGACGAGCGAGCTCGGAGACGTGGTATCCATTCACGCATTTGACTGGCATAATCATTCACGTCGTAGTCCGGTGGTCGAAAGTCTCCATACAGGTTCACTTCATTGCCTAGTTCGTATGCCATGACCAGAGACTGATCGATGTATCTGAAGGCACTATCTATCTCAGCTTGGGCCAGGCTGTAGCTGTCTGTACGGCAGTGATGATTGTCAGCAAACCACAGGAACAGGAGGAACAGACACATACTGTTGCGAAAGTTGAGCCCAAAAATGATCGGAGTTCCAGTTGGCACGTTGGTCGTCAGGACATTAAATAAGTTCTTGTTGAACGTGACCTCCACTGCTTCGGTGCCCTTGGGGTCATTGGGGTCGTTTAGTACAATGCTGCTCATTGTCTGGTTACAGTTCTCGCAGAAGCTAGCTCGATCTTGAGTATTACCACCTATGCGTAGAATAGCTGGATTCCGAGACCGATCAACGATGTTCTGTAGAAGTTGTTTCGAAAAGGCGTTGGGATTGTCGACACCACCAAAATAGTCTACTGCGTTCCCAAATCTAAAGTGATGTTCGGTTAGTGCCACATCTAGTGGAAGGAGGGAATAGCAGCCTACTCAATGGACAGCCCCATCAGCTGTTTATCCAGAGGTACTGCGCCTGCAGCCGCTTGCTGGACGTTGAAGTAAACATCTGAACGAGGCAGAGGCGACGTGTTACTGTCCAAAGGCAGTGCCGCTACAAACTTCGCTGTAGTAGTAGCTAGAAGAATCAGGTGAGTGAGCACCATGGTGACAGTTAATATTGATTTATAGCCTTACTTCCATACTTACATCTTCGACATACGTTTTATACATCAGCATCCTTGCGCTTTGATACATGGAAGCGGCAACATGATTGACGGGGAAATCTATGGGTTAATACGAAGAAATCGTCCGGACCAACAGTGTGGGGTAAGTACCCCCGCCGGGCTTCCAGCGATTTAGATATGTCGTCGATGATGAGTGGGCCTGACTGACATAGAGTGCGATGCAATCCGCGAGAGGTCAGAATTGACACAGAGGGTTGCAGCAAAGGTGGGGTGAATATGTTGAAAGGAACGGTTAAAAGGGCATTTCGGGATGTCAAAGGCGTGGAAATACCAGAAGCTTTGCCCTACATGAACTGACATTCTTTATAGAAGTAAATAGATATTCTTCTTAAAAGACATCCACAAAACCTTCGGACGCGTGATTGAAGGCACCAAGATGCTCCCTGTTAGATCGTCCATGGCATGGTCTGTCAACTACTAGTACAGAGGCAATGTTTATGCTGGTAATGAACATGCCCACTCAGGATCGGTTAGCCATCTGACATGCTAATTACTGTCAACAATATTGTTATTCGGGTGGAGCCGTGAGTCTATATAAAACTGGCCCCTGGCGAAATTCCCAGTTCGTAAAATGTGATAAATGCGCACGCACAATAGTCAATCTTGCCATCCATCATCCATATCACCCATAGTGACAAAAACAGAAGATCATGGTAATATGTATCTACTGTCGGATGGGTCAAGGTTTGACGGACACCTCAAACTGACATTAAAGGTCGTTCTACCACAATCTGCATCTAGAAATCTCTGACGTCCCAGCTTCTGAACTAAGGCGAGCTATCAGCAATATGCTGTTTACATGAGCTCAAGTTAGCTAAGAAACAAACGTGGATAAAACAAGGTCGACCAGGGTATTGCAGTGGGCAGCCCTAAAACAGGATACCAATCAGGCAGTTTAAACTTTCGTACTCTATCTGAAAGGTCTCTTGATACTATTTCACAGGATCATTCTTGAGTCTGCGAAGGGGTTGGGTAAGCTTAAGCGCACCTCGAGTAATTGGTCTGGTAAAAAGAGGCTGAGAGGTTGAGAACTGAGAATTGAACTCCTTTCTAACGACCGGAGGTGATTTCTGATCATAGTGATGCGATATGAAATAGGGAAGTAATAGTAATTGACCCTGGCTTGGCTTGGCCGATCACCCTTGGATGAAAGCAACATCTCTTTGAAAGGGCTCGGGAACTGGAAACGTCGGTTATATTTTTGTTTAGCTCTTGAGACTGAGAAACATCCACACGTCACAGCAAAGTGAACGAATCGTATATCTCAAAACCGAACCTTCTGCACGACTCGTGGACGTAAAGAAGGAATCGATAGATATTGACTGTACGGGCAGTTATATTGATTTATCCCTAATTCCTCAAATGCCCCCATAAGTATGCCAGTACTCGGCATTTGCAGTCAGTCCATATACCAGCACAAAGGGAATCTAAATTGCTAAACACAAAAATGAGTGGCCACAGCAAAGACACCGACCCGAATAGCCAATTGTATAATCCAAGGAGCAATTACAACGTATCATCAACTAGCCAACAGTATGAGCCTGCTGCGCCGCGCTATGCTATAAGCGTACATGGAAGGTAAGGTATCTTATATCACAAAGTCCCGCAAAACTGTATCTGGTCCCTATCGTTGCCGCTGCCCGAACGGATTGCCAAAATAAGATAGAAATAGAAAGAAAAAAGGGTGGCTACTTGGCCTCGGGGTAAAAGTATGTAGCAAGATTATGCTCGACATCAATCGTCCTTGAACCTGTCCCCAGGAGTACGAGTCCTGCTCGTCCCTGCCGAAGGACTATGGAAACGGCCTCTCACTGAGCTACCGTCGTGAAGACTTGTTCCAGATCGGTTGTACTCGGGCCGCAGTATCTTTGGCGTGTCACGAGATTCTAATCCGTCATTAAGCTCAATCAGGTCTCCCGCCCCTCGTGTCGCAGGTCGATGAGCTGTGCCATTCATTTGGTGGCCTTGCGTGCTTTGCTGCAGTTCATTAAACCCAGCCTTGGCTCGGCTGGTCATCTTCCTGACCCAGCCCTCGACTGCACCGCCTATATTGTCCAAGCCAGTGGGAGCGTTGGACACAGAATTTGAAGTGTACTCCATGGAGTCTTGAAATTTCGGAGGAGTAGGAGCGGGGGCAAGGTTCGGTAGATGCTGGGCAAAGAATTTACTCAGACCGTCGAGAGCCGGCCCAGGAGCCATTGCATCACGATCAAGGGTGCCAACTCCCGGCGCAGCTAATTGTATATTGCTGCGTTGACGTTGATGGCGCACGGCAGGCTTAGATTTAGCTGATGTTTGTGACCCTGCCGAATCCGCGTGAGGTCTATTTCCAGATATAGATGTAACGCGTGAGGATTGAGGTTCAATGGTGGATGAAGTCGAGGATAATGTTGGGGTTCTCTCGCGTCCAGAGAACGAAGGACTCTCAGAGTCAGTATAGGAAATAGATTTCCGTTTTGAGCGCGGAAAGAATCCTAACGCCCTGCGTGGAACGCGTCCAATCTCGACAGGCGCAGAGAAGCCATCGATCTGGACCCAGGACTCGTGTTTCCATATTTGGTCAGCTTCCATCTCTGAAGGAGCGTCCGGGATTGCTTCAGGTTGATCGCGAGGCCCTGAAATCGAACTCGGAGCTATTGAGCTCCCAGTTGGATCTTCCAGAGAGTCGCGTCTGGAACTCTCAGCATGCACCAGGTTTAAATCATGCCGAATGGGTCGTCCTTTGACTGAGCAAGAATCGACTGGTAGAAGAACTGTCTTCCGACCTTGAATACTATCACTGGGCCAAAAGCCATTCGCCTTCCGGAATATCGCAGGCTGACAACCGTAGCGTATCGTTACCCCCGTTATACTGTCCGTCGGCTGGACATGATGTACGTACGCCAGAGCTTCCTCGTCCAGGTTCGAACCTACTATCAACTGGCCCGTCCGATCACTAGAATCGCGTCGTTTGTGTTTCGTATTGATATTTCCATTCATCTCTGTATCCGCCAGTAGCAATGCTTCTCTTTTCTTAGCCTGTACAAATGCTTGCCGTTCTTCCTTAGTTCCAGCGCCAATTGCGGAGGTAGATGGAGCTGCCGGTCCCCACGACGAGGGTGTCAAAGTTCGCGATGGGTTCCCCATGTACGAATCGGGGCGTGAAGGCTTCCTCGCGTGTGTCCGTGGCGTTCCATTGGTGGCGGGCCGTGCAGTATCACTTCCCAAAACCGATGAGGCCAAGCTCTGTAACGATGACCAAGACGCATCTAGAAAGTCAACGGCAGCTCGCGACGACTCCGCGAAGTTGACTTGATTCTTTCCAGTATAGCTGAACCCGCCTAACGAGCTACTCGCTCCGCGGCCAGGCGAAGATGTGACTCGGGAAGGATGTCTCATGGGCATTGGCGAAACTCCGCGGGATGTGTAGGGTGACGGGGTGGTACCACGAGATCGAGGTACTGGGAGATCCGAGGACAGGGTGGTGGACAACCCGGAGGGCTCCAACTGCCTTCCATTATCACTTTCATCGTCGGTGAACGATACCAAGCGGCGAGGGCGTGATCGCACGGTTGAGGTGGACCTACGGGAGGCATTCGTACCATTTGTCCCAGGGCTGAGGGTGTCGGCAAAGCTGGTACTGGAACTCATCCCTGACGACGATAACGATTATTATATCCGAGGGAAGAGAATGTCGTCAGCTCTCCTAAGAGAAGGAAACGTTGGGTGAATGATCGCCAAACGCAAAGCGCCATGGGAAGGCCCTATAGCAGAACGTTCGTCATCCAGTCTCCGTCCCTATCGCATCCGTGTCCTTAAAGCGACGTTCTAACGTGCTAGGGTAAGTGCAATTCAGTAATCCGTCCAATAAATGATGACCTTCACACAGTGGATTGAGGTCCAATATGACGCACAGTCCAGAGAATCAGGGACATCGAACTAGGGAGACCATCGAAAGCTGAGCAGGGAGTATGGGGGGTGGATGGTCGGGGTGCGGGATGTGGCAGAAAGGGTAAATTAGTGGTTTAACCTCCTTTGTGATGACGACTCCCCCCGAGTTTAGTCCTACTACTAGTAGCAAGTCCAGACGTCGTCCACTCACGGCGGGGCGGGTCCAGGTCTTATGTAAAAGGTCAAGAAAATGGAGACTTTACGGCGCCCGCTGAGATTAGATAGGTCGTTCAGAACTCTGCCAAGGGGGGAATTGAGAGGAAGGAAGCGACCACCAAATAAAGGGAGAACGAAAAAAAAAAAGAAAAGAAAAAGAAGAAAAAAAGCAGCAACAGTAGGAATCGGAGGAGAGGGACGTTCCGCCAAAGCAAAAGACAAAATTGTGTTCGATCGGGAACCTAAGAGGCGATCCTTTCCCAGTCGATCTTGTCATGTTCTTATCATACTACGTAGGTTACCTTCCAGCCTCCGGTTGGCCACCGTTGGGATGTACGGTACCGTATTGCCCGCGGACCGGCGAGTTCCCTCCCACTGTGGTGTAGTAATTGCTTACGACAACACTACTAGTAATATCATGACGCATTGCATAACCATATGCACTACTCCGAGTACATATACTCTATCCTGTCAAATATACAGTGAAGCTTCGTTCATTTGATCCATTGGGAGATTCCTCTAAGGATAATACCAAAAACAGAGGAGCCGTCAAAAAATACTCTATGGGCAGTATCGGACTTCATAACCAGGATGGGGTGGAAATTGCCACATATGATAGCCATATCCGAGAAGGCCATTAAATATCTGGCAATATGCTCAAACAATAAAAACAGAACGCCTTTCCCTTCGTGGTGTATACAAGTAACATAGACAGGCGGCTAACAAGATAAGTTCACGAATTCATCACACACTTCACTCCGGCGGCTCCGCCATTTCCGCAGATGGCCGTGTTTCAACTTCAGAGGTCGCCTCGGACTCTGTACTCCATTCTTTCTCCGAGCTAGCCTTGATGGATGCCTGCAGTTGTGTAGGCGGGGGAATAACCCTAACACCTCCAGCACGTGTGAAGAAGTCTTCTGTTCGAAGACCACGGACCTCTTTGGGGTCGACGGTGTTCATTTGAAGACCAGCAGCCTTTTTCTCCCGAATAAGCTCTCGGACGGGTGCCATAGCTGCGTCGCGGCAGGCTTCCTTGATATCACTGCCTGACATGCCTTCCATGGCTCTAACAAGGTAGTCGAGGTTAAAGTTCTCCCGATCTACCTTGGTATCTTTAAGTACGAGACTAAGGATTCGAAGTCGTTGTGGTGCTGGAGGAAGAACGACCGGGAACTTCTTAGGCATCCGCCTGAGAATGGCTTCGTCAATATCCTGTATGCGGTTTGTTGCTCCCATCACAACAATCCGCTGGGGTTCACCCGACGAGTTGGCGGAGGTAAGGCCGTCCCAATGGGTCATGAACTCTGCCTTAACCATGCCACTTGCCTCATGTTCTCCACTCCGCCTAGTGCCAAGAACAGCGTCTATCTCGTCAATGAAGACGATGGAAGGCTGCAGCTTCCTGGCTAGGGAGAAGACTGCATTAACCAACTTATTCGAATCACCGTACCACTTCTCTGTCAGAGTTGATATGTGTAGGTTGATGAAACATGCCCCACTCTCATGAGCAAGCGCTTTGGCAAGCATAGTCTTTCCGCACCCAGGAGGACCATACAGCAGAACACCGGACGGGGCCGTAAGGAGTGAAGACGTAGATGAATAGAGGTGAGGCATGGTTAGTGGGTAGATGACAGACTCTTTCAACTCCTCGATGATCTCGTCCAAGCCACCAATATCCTCGAATGACACGGGAATATCGTCTGGGGCAACAACATCCATCGCGATCGCTTGTTCGTATTGATTCAGGGCAAGGTCTCCACGCTTTTGTCTCCGCCCCCTCTTGCCTTCTCTGCGTGGTGAATCTTCATCCGACTCTTCCCCCCCATCGAGTCTCCGTAGAATAGCAGCCGACTTGCGTCGTTGCTCCTCTTTCTTTTGGCTTTCCGGGTCGAAATCAAGACGAGATAGGAGATATCGAATGAGGAAGTAGGCAGATGCCGACTGAGCATATTTTGTTAGTCCAAGCGACACCGGGGGGATCAAGTTTGACTAACAGTGCCGGCAACCATCACCAATTCCTGTAAGAATTGCTGCCATCTCGGACCGCGCGCTGAAGCCATGACGATACAACTGCGCTCAATACCAACGACTGTTTATATTATAAGGTACAGAGCACGGCCCTGCTTCAGAAATCCAGCTGCAACAAGGTACCCGAGGCCAACAGCGGGATGCAGATAAATTATGCGACGAACCCAGCTGAATGTTACTCGGGTCGGCAAAGCAGCTGTGGCGCTGATCGGAGCCGTGGCTTTGCCGACAGCGTCACATGCTTCACTGCCTGTTGGTTGGTTTGCGGTGTCGTAGGCGGAGAAGGTCCCACTGACGCGCCAGTGATCATTCGTCCGAGTTTTGTTGTCGTGCTAATCGCTGTGTACAATACAAGTGTTGCGCAGTACCTTTTCTTTCTACTATTTTGTATAAAATTATATAAATTTACATTCTTGCAATGCCACCAAAGAGAAAGGCCGCGGCCAAACTTTCTAACTTAGCAGAATCCGACAACGAAGACGCGACGCAGGCCCAGGAACCACGCGACGATGAGCGCCCTACGAAGAAGCCGAGAGGACGCCCTCGTTCGAAGTCAGCAGAGCTCAAGCCACCAATCCAATCGAAGAATGACACCACAGCTGCGCCCTTGCAGGCGCCGGAGGCCGCACCGAAGAGGAGCACAAGAAGGGGGAGACCAAGGGGTAGCAGGGGCTCACTGCAATCTGTTACCCAAGAGATAGAAGAGCAGAAGGAACCCGAGGAAGCGGAGGAAGACGCTGGTCCTCACATACCGGAGAGCGCGCCTGCATCTAACGATGAGCTAGTCGCATCGCAACCTGCTACTAGGTCAGCTAGATCTGCGAAACCCGCGAAGCCTACAACCTCCCGCGGACGACGCAAGGCAACTGCTGAGAAGCAGGTCAAGACTGACGGCGAATTTCAATATACCCCGAGGAATACGCGACAGCATACATCACCGGTAAAAGGCGATGAAAAGGCTGAACAATCCACGAAACGGCGGAAAGCTGATCCACAGTCGGAACCGGAAGAGGAGGTGTCAGAAGGTGAAAAGGCTGCGCCAGATGTTGTCGAGGAAACCTTTATCCAAGAGGAGCCAGTAGAACCGCGCCGTGTCTCCATGTCGCCAACTAAACGTAGACAATCTACTCAACGTCCTCTGCAGAGTTCGCCACTGAAACCTAACGCGGAGCCGGAGTTAAGGCGCAAGATCGGAGAACTCACAAAAAAGTACGATACTTTGGAGAGTCGCTACCGAACCCTCAAAGAGATAGGCGTGGTAGAAGCAAATGCCAATATGGAAAGATTACGGAAACAATGCGAAGCAATGACGAATGGTACGTGAATCCCGGCTCCCCTAGCGTAAGAAGTAATATACTAACTTATCTAGCTTCAAACAACTTGGTTGCTGGTCTAAAGGCAGAATTGGAGGCACAAAAAGCTCTTGGTCAGCAGAGCCGGATACTGCAGAACCAGATGAAGGAGCGAGATGCAGAAATTGCTCAATTGAAATCGCAAGCCGAAGATACCACCAGTCAACTTTCTTCCGCTCAAACTGAGGTGAAAGCTTTGCAGACCAAACTTGCAGCTGCTCGGAATACAGCAGCGAGTCTGGAAAGCGCTGCCGCCAAGGTCCCTGGAAGCGCCATCAAGGGCAGTAACAACCGTGCTAATGCCGTAGCAAACGCTGAAGCCGCGCAAGCAGCTCAGTTTGCACAGCTTAAGGAGGACCTTTACACCGACCTTACGGGTTTAATTATTCGTGATGTGAAGAAGGGAGACTCCGACAATCTGTATGATTGTATCCAGACAGGCATTAACGGAAGTGAGTATCTATACCTCCGACTGCATGAGAAATACTCTAACCTAGCGATAGCACTGCACTTCAAACTGGCCGTACCGCACGTTTCGTCGGCCAATTTTGAGAATGCAGAGTTTCAGTATATCCCACTTTTGGATGACAATCGAGATCGCGATTTGATCGACATCCTTCCCGAGTATTTAACGGTGGATATCACTTTCGTCCGTCAGCAAGCGTCGAAATTTTACACCAGAGTCATTGACGCTCTCACAAAACGGCGGACAAGCACTGGGAATTGATAGCTCTTGATCGTTCCTCCGCTCGTACACGCACTTCCTTCGGAATTGGTTTTACTTGCGCAACCAACTTGCTTTGATTATGAATTGAGTCCTTGCTCCGTTTTGCATGGTAGGAGTAAAGGCAATGTAACGGCGTATAGTCATTGGAGAAGGTATCTGGACAAGGCATCTGGATCAGGAGTTTAGTGTTAATTTGGATGATCGACTTTTACATATGCAACTACAAACATCTGCGGGTATGAGATAATGGGAACCTCGGTGGACGTCTAGAAGTTTGGAACGCCCCTTTATTCAGTAGTATATACCTCTAGTAATATCAGTATCAGGGGCAATTGCGGAACCCGTGGGTGCCGTCTACCGTAGCCGCTGCCGTGCCGTATTGAGGACCGCCGATTGGCTGTGGACATCCCCAAGTTCCTCAAGGTGTCAGGGACGCGGAAAAGTGCCATCTTTCATCGGAAGATCACTTTGAGGCTGCTGTCAGCTTGTCAGCTCCCCATTGCTTCACTTGTCCTTCTTTTCAATTTTACCCCTATCTGATCTCCTGCTTAGCCAATATCCTTCTACACAGACCCTTGCCCATCAATTGATCCGGGGCTGGCAAAAGAAACCATGGCGCGTGTCGGCCGCGTTGGGTTTCTCACCCTCGCGGTAGTCTTCCACCTAATGTACGCCTATTCGATCTTTGACATTTACTTTGTCAGTCCGATTGTCAGTGGCATGAGATCCTTCGGCGTGGAAAGAGAGACCAAATCCGAGGCACCGGCCAAGCGTCTGTTCCTATTTGTGGCGGACGGCTTGCGCGCCGATAAGGCGTTCCAAGCATTGCCTGACCCAGATGCACCTACAGATCTTGAAGATGAAGAACCGATCTACCTTGCGCCTTTTATTCGGTCCCGCGCTCTCTCTCACGGAACCTTCGGCATCTCCCACACGCGAGTTCCCACCGAATCGAGACCTGGCCATGTTGCGCTTATCGCGGGGTTGTATGAAGATGTTTCGGCAGTGACGACGGGTTGGAAACTCAATCCAGTGGACTTCGATAGCGTCTTCAATAGAAGCCGGCATACATGGAGCTGGGGGAGCCCGGATATTCTTCCAATGTTCAAAGAGGGTGCCGTTCCCGGAAGGATCGACGCAGACACATACGGAGAAGAAGCGGAAGACTTCTCGGCTGATGCGACCAAGCTTGACACCTGGGTTTTTGATAAGGTTAAGGAGCTCTTCGCATCTGCAAAGAAAAACCCGGAGTTGGATGCGAAATTGCGAGAAGATAAACTGGTCTTTTTCTTGCACCTTCTTGGTCTAGATACTACTGGTCATTCCTACCGGCCCTATTCAAAGGAGTACCTACGCAACATCAAGCTGGTAGATAAGGGTGTGCAGGAAATCACGCAACTTGTGGAGAATTTCTACGGTGATGGCAAGACGTCATTTGTATTCACTGCGGATCATGGCATGAGCGATTGGGGAAGCCATGGGGACGGTCATCCTGACAATACTAGAACCCCGCTAGTTGCTTGGGGCTCTGGTGTTGCTAGTCCCAGGTACACACACGAGGGAAGCATATCAGGACACGAAGATGGAGTGTCAGCAGACTGGGGCCTTGATCGCGTCCAGCGCAATGATGTTGCACAGGCAGACGTCGCTGCCCTCATGGCCTATTTGGTTGGACTTGACTTTCCCACCAATTCCGTTGGACAGTTGCCCCTCGGCTATCTAGATACTAGTCCTAAAGATAAGGCGTTGGCAGCGCTTGCGAATGCGCAGGGGGTTCTGGAAATGTACCGTGTCAAGGAACAGCAAAAACGGGACGCATTATTACGGTACACACCTTTCGAGCCTCTTGCAGATAGCGGCGAGACATCCGTGGAGGTGCGTCTTGAGAGGATCAAAACCTTAATTGCGAACAAGTCTTACGACGCCTCAATTCAATTGAGTTCTGAGCTCTTAGTTACGGCGTTGGAGGGCTTGCGGTACCTGCAGACATATGATTGGCTCTTCCTGAGGACTATCGTCTCTCTAGGGTATCTGGGTTGGATTGCCTACGCTTTGACGACGGTAATTGATCTGCATGTCCTGCACGGTAAAGCCGAGTCGAATCGCACCCCGTTCAGTATCATGTTCTTTTCATCTATCCTCGTTGCTCTCTTTTCCGTCTTACTGTATCAAGGCTCTTCATGGAGGTATTACTTCTATGCACTGTTTCCAGTCTTTTTCTGGGAGGAGGTTTTCGCACGGCGGAAAGCCTTGCTTGCTGGCCGTGAGATACTACTGGGTCATGTCCATTCTGTAAGCGGGTACCTTGCATTCGTCATACAGCTCTTGCTATATGTGGGTGTATTGGAGGCATTGGTGCGTTTAGCTGCCCCTCACTCATTAGTACGCGGCTGACAGTACCATCTACAGGTGCAATCCTATTTTCACCGGGAAATCTTCACAGTTTGCTTTGTCTTGGGGGGCTTTTGGCCAGTAACCTACGGCACAAAGTTCCTTGGCGGGCATAAGTTGCTTTCTGCATCATGGGCACTCGGTTGTTTCCTTATGAGCATTTTTACTCTCCTGCCCGCCAACAAAGTTGAGGACACGACGATGATGTACGAGATGATCCCCAAGGCCATAGGCCACCTCTGTTCAAACATATACTTACCTGGCTTTTTTTTTCGTGCAGTTCCTGTGGTTCTCTGTTGATGTTCTTGACGGGTCTGCTATATCTTATCTTTGAACGCTCTATCTTGGGACAGAAGCGCTCTTCCGATCCAAACTCGACTGTCTCTAGCTGCGGCTCGCGAACTATTATGGGTGCACAGGTATGGAAGCCCTCATCAATGCCAATCACACTAGATCCCCTGCTTTTACCAACCACAAGTTCTTGGACTTTCATGCTGTGATATTGTGACTAAGTCTGTCTAGGTCGGTATGATCCTGCTTGCCTTGATTGTAACCAGGTCAAGTGCAGCGTCTCTTCAGGCCAAGCAGGGCCTTCCTCTTGGGAACCAGGTTCTTGGGTGGTCTATCTTGGGTACGTGCTGTCTCGCCTTTTTTATCCCTCAGGCTATTTTGATTAGTCGCCCAATCCCGCGACGGATACCGAAGGACATGTCAGTACTGATACCAAATAAATGTAGTTTTTTCGCTCCTGCTGCCGTTTCTCCACCGTCTGTATCCCAATGGTCACTACCTGCACCGATTGATGGTTATCTTCCTTACCTTTTCTCCGATTTTCATTATCCTTACCATCTCTTACGAAGGCTTATTCTACTTTGTCTTCTGTATGACTCTCCTGGCATGGGTGCGGCTGGAGCAGGCCATCTATGTTCATACTGCGGCCCCAGCTAGGGAGCAGGATCATGGTGTGGCAAATGGCTCTATACCCGCGAAGAAGCCGAGTCCGGGAAGCACAGTGGTAGTCGAAGGCCAACCCTACCGATACCGGACACTTAGCGTCTCCGATGCACGTGTGGCGCTCTTTTTCTTTTTCCTTCTTCAGTCGGGATTTTTCAGTACCGGAAATATCGCATCTGTGTCATCCTTCTCGCTGGATAGCGTGTACCGGCTTATCCCGATTTTTAACCCCTTTACTCAGGGCGCGTTGTTGATCTTAAAGCTTCTGATCCCATTCGCGATTATCAGCGCCAATCTGGGCATCCTCAATCGCCGACTGCAGGTGGCCCCCAGCGCTCTGTTCATGGTTGTGATGTCCATCTCGGACGTAATGACGTTAAACTTCTTTTACATGGTCCGTGACGAAGGATCCTGGCTGGAGATTGGCACGACCATTAGTCACTTCTGCATTGCCAGTTTCCTGTGTACGTTCGTGGCAGTCCTGGAGTTCTTGAGTGAATTATTCATCAGCGGAGTGGACTTTGGACACACCGCCACCACCGTCGGGTCCGCAGTTGCGAAAGCTGTCAATGGGTCCGTGGCGTGTGGACATTCTCCGGATTCTGTTAAATCCGGGGATGATACGGTGCACGTGGGGATCACCACCAAGGCTGATCAGGACGCCCGTTCATAGAAGATGTTCTGTATATTTCTCCTCTCGATAGATTTCATACCTTTTATTATTACCTTAATACATTATTCAATGATCAGACTTGGCCCTGCTCCATCTGCATTGCACGCCATTCTGAGCGGCCTGATAAGCATGCATGGTAATAAAAAGGAAATGTAGATCCCCATGAGCCGAGGCATCACAAGCCAGAGCATGACGCAATTCGACTCTGGAGGTGTCAGCGCCTAGACCACCCCAGTGCTCGTACCTGTCAGTCATCAGTGCAGAGTTCGACTCCCGCCAAACTCTCCGAAACCTCCCTACGTACCGTACCATAAGCCTTAAGGTTTGGACAGATCCCGAAGCGAGATTGCGGGGAGCCAACCGCCTGAATTCCAGTGTGCCAATCGTGCTCCCTGTCAGGAACGGCGAATGAGGCTTTGCTCGGATTCTCATAACCCCCGTCTGAGGAATTTCGGTATGGAGTGCGGCCACGTCTGTGCGGAGGGGGGAGGATCCTATCCCGTCTTGGGAATGGACTGCGAGGGTGTGGGCAACGAGGTCTGGTGATAGGTGGGTGGCAATAAGAGGTTGGATCTCGGGGGATGTGAGGTGCGCGTTCTGGGGAAAGGATCTTGTTCGAGATTATCTGATTCGATATGGTGATAGATATTGAGCGTTATATATCGCATGATCAGACGTTCGTGCTTATATTGAATTGCGTATTCGTATCGTCGTCCACTGCAGAAGCCGACCCCGGCACATACCCCTAGTACTACTACTAGTACTAGTAGCTACACACGCTGTACATCCATGCAACTCATACTTTAATCCCCGATCTGGTGGAATGCAGGAACAGAGTGTCTTCGTATCCGTGCAGGGGATGTTCTGGTCATATATCCCCGATCGGTATATCTCAAATATAGAATCTCAATATGGATATATATATATGTGTGTGTGTATATTTCTACGCATTTATGCAATTACAACTACATGACCAGCAGATATGGATGATATGGGGTTGTGGAGAGTTCCGAGCCTACGGTGAACAGATTATATGTTATCGATCGAGGTATGACTATATATATTTTGACATGAGTACTACGCGGGCAACGGGGTTCAGTGAATCCCGATTAGGGGCAGCCCGTTGGATTTCGCACGAGTCAAGCGTTTTAACGGACATTCCCATTGTTGATTCTGGGACTAACCCTCAGGGGTAAGTGGTGAGCAATGATGGACCTTTAGTAGACAGACCGCCGAACTTACCGTGCGCTTGGGATTGGACTGGACCTTGGGGCCACCATGTGCCCCAAAAACTAGACCAATTCCCATTGCCGTTTTCGAGTCCACCTGATCTGGATGTCGTGCGGATCTTAAGTCCGTTGTTTTACCTGGAGGTCTGGTGGAGTCATTGCCTAATTACTATCGTGTAGCTTCATTCAAGATGCCTAATTATTAGTCTCTCAGGCTGCCTGCCTAATCTTGAATTGTTGTTCCCGGTGATTGTTCATGGTTATCAGTTCCTGTTCTTATGTAATTTATGTAATAAAGTGCAAGATCTTATGCCTTCAGTCATTGACGCATAAAATGCTGATACGTAGTGCAGGAGTCCATGTGGATTCAGATTACCTAAAACATAAACCTGTGTGGAGTTGAAAAATACATCAAAGAAGCTTAAAGCTCCGGTCAGCTTATCCCCTTGCATTTAGTTACACCTGTCCATATGGTTTTTAAAGTTGGCAGAGTCATTCACCGGGAGACACAGAAAGAACTTTAAACGCACAGGAAGGAAAAGGCGACACGTGCAGCTGAGATTCATTCACTGGTTGAATGTTGAGGACCCTATGGACCAGGATCTGGTTCGGGTTGGGTTACATCGAGGATATCCCCGGTGTATTACTTACCATACCGAGCTTGCTTGGTTTTAGGTACAGACAACCTGAGGTACTAACTACTAGTAGTACTAGGAGTAGCTTCCATACCTTGGGAAGCAGCCCTTTTGGGTGTCATACACTTCCATACAGTTACCTACTTAACTACCTGCTGCATCGAGTAAGGTTCTGAGGAGCCCCAAAAAGACAGTTAAGAAATACCGTGTGCCACTCCACCATGGTAAGTCCCAGGAGTTAATTATCCACGGAGGAGAACTGTCCAGAATCCCAGACATGGACCCTGGTCCTTTCTGGATCCTTAGGTTAGTTCGCCGGCGCTACCGAGAGATTTGCCAACCATCAAGACTTTAGTGCAGCAGTAGTTCACCCGTCTAGCAACAGGAAACGAAGTAATACTAATCACCCTTCTCCACATCATCTATTTCCGGGATGGATGATCCGCCCCAAAGTCCACCGTTCTGACTGCTAATGGTATTATTGCCACTCCCCGCTCGTGTCCTTCTGCCACCATCCAGAACGGAGTATACTCTCTCTCTCTCTCGCTCTCTCTCGCGCGCGCGCGCCCTTTGTTCTCCATCCTTCATTTTGGAACTCTACCTTGCTCGTTTTGGCGGGGTTTGCCCTCTCTCTCTACCCTCTCGAATCCATTAATTCGCCCGTCCAGTTCCATCACCACCACAACCCTGTCTATAGAATTTCAGGTTCCTGACAACCCTTTGACCTTCCGAGAAATTCTCTGTCCACACATTCCCACCCTCCTACTGGAGTGATTCTCGGTCTCCGTGCCCTCCCTTCTCCCTCCCTTCCCTTTTCCCTCGATCGCATCGCATCCATTATTCGGGTGGCGGCGACCTTCGACCCGTGAATTTCCCTAGTACTTTTACCTACCCCAGTAGCAGCTGAGCAAGAGGAAAAAAAGCGCTGCAAAGAGAACCAGAAGGGACAACAAGCGTGGTCAAGGCACACCTTTCGGTTCCTTGTAATTTTCTTCTTTTTCTTTTCGCCTTGCCAATTCTGGATTTATTACATTATTTATATTTTCTATAACCTTGGCTATATCCCCAATCCCTATATTATCGCCCTCGTCGCTCCGAACGCTCTTTCGGTCGCGTTTTCTCTGCATGGATACTTTTTGGCCATGAGCACAACAGGAGAAAATCACACAGATTCTACTTCCAGACCCAGCCCGGCCCCAAGCGCCACAGGCTCAACGGGAACTTCAGGTCTTACAGTGCGAGCGGGCCCAAACGGACAGATGAGTTTCAGAAGGTGTGTGATGATATTTCCTTGCCCTGGGGTGGTTCACCAAGTGTGGGTTTCTGCGCTGTCGCGGGGCTGCAGCGCACGAGGGGATGGTCGCAGATCATCAAAATTGGAGTTGGAAAGGGTCCCTGGGTGGATGGGAACGGTCGAGATTTTAAAGGAGTACAGATGGATGCTAATCAGATTTATCTAATCGCTGTTTCAATAGACAACGTGCGTCGCGTGCTTGTGAGGTATGTCTCTTTGTTCTTATGAGGTCGACGCGACCTGTGAAAGCCTCGGCACCTCGGCACATCGCAGCTTTGCTTTGCTGCCCTCCCCCCTATCATGCTATCTATCCATCAGGCAATCCTAGTGATGGTAGCATAACGCAACCACGATAATGTTTTTATTTGAGCGTATTGTTTGCTAACCTATTTTTCGTCTTATCTCGTGAAGACATGCCATGCTCGAAAAGTAAGTTCCCCCCGGGTCCAGACTGATTCGATCGCCTTTTTGGGTCCCATCCCTTCCGGTGTCACCCGCCCGCCCTGCTAGGTCTCTGCAGTAAAGGAGATCGCTAATCGCGTCATTTACCCACAGGTACGCTGCGATGCTGCCAGTCTAGGTGTGCCATGCACCAACTGTGTGGCCTTTTCGATCGAGTGCAAGATCCCCACGCCGAAACGCAAGAAGAACCAAACAAAAGCTAAGGAGAGCTCCGGGTATGTCTTCAAATACCTCATACATCGATTCGCTATCGACTTTATCCCAACATCTACTGATTCGCCATCGAAATGAGCAGTAGTGAAGATAATCCCCAGAAGGAAACACCCACGGAGGAGCAGTCGACAACGGACGGCAAGGATGCGTTCGGTTATTCAAGTAATCGAATGGCCGTCGACGGTATGCCTGTTACATCACTCACAGAGTCGCAGGCCGCTCAGCAAGCCACCCAAAATGGAGCATATGCCCAGTTCATGAAACCAAAGTTTGCGCGCGCCCCAATCAAGGAAGCTGGCCGGGTTGCTTACCTCGGCGAGTCCTCGAATCTTTCACTCCTGGTGCAGGACCGCCATGGAACGACAGACGTTGTACACTATCCCCTCCCGCCCAATGTTCGCGGCTCTCGTGCTAGATTGGCGGATCTGGATAACCTGGAACTGGATATCCTTCATCAGCGTGGCGCCTTTCTTCTGCCGCCAAAGCCTCTTTGTGATGAACTAGTCGATGCCTACTTCAAATGGGTCGCCCCCGTAGTACCCATTGTTAATCGCAGCCGTTTCATGCGACACTATCGCGACCCCAAGAACCCACCTTCCTTACTGCTCCTTCAGGCTATTCTTCTCGCTGGCTCCAGGGTGTGTACAAACCCTCAGCTGATGGATGCCAATGGTTCAACAACCCCAGCAGCCATGACCTTTTACAAGCGGGCAAAAGCACTCTACGACGCTAATTATGAAGATGACCGTGTCACGATTGTTCAGGCCTTGGTACTCCTGGGCTGGTACTGGGAGGGCCCGGAGGACGTTACTAAAAACGTCTTTTACTGGACAAGAGTGGCTATGGTTGTAGCACAAGGGTCGGGTATGCATCGAAGGTATATTGTTGCCCTCATTGCTGAAACATTATGGACAACCATCTAATTTTCACAGCGTTGAATCGTCCCAACTGAGCAAGCCGGATAAAAGACTTTGGAAGCGAATTTGGTGGACTCTCTTTACAAGGGACCGATCCGTAGCAGTGGCCTTGGGGCGCCCTATCGGTATCAATACAGATGACTCGGACGTTGGAATGTTAACCGAGGACGATTTTATCGAAGACGAGGTTGATATAGCAGCTGAGCATCCGCCGGACCCCGTGCATGTACAGTTCTTCCTGCAATATGTGAAGCTCTGCGAGATCATGGGTTTGGTACTTGCGCAGCAGTACTCTGTGGCTTCGAAGTCGAGACGCATGAATGCTATGGATCTGACACATTCGGATATGGCGTTGGCAGATTGGCTCCAGAATTGCCCCAAAGAGGTGTGCTGGCAACGGCAGAATCATCACTTCTGGGCCGCCCTGCTTCATGCGAACTACTAGTAAGCTTTACACTTCCCCGGGACTCTCTACACGGGACTAATGCAGATAAAAGCACTACCCTTTGTCTTTTGCATCGGGCGCACATGCCTCCAGCTTCTTCTGCCCCAAATAGCTACCGCGTAGAAGAGATGGCCTACCCCTCGCGCACAATCGCATTCCAGGCCGCTGGAATGATCACTTCTATCGTGGAAAATTTGCAGACACATCAGGAGATTCGATATACGCCAGCCTTCATGTAAGTTTCGATAGTGTGTCCGTTTTCCGCATTAAGCACTCACAGTGTCGCAGCGTCTACAGTTTGTTCTCGGCCCTGATCATGCACGTGTATCAGATGCGGTCATCTGTGCCAACAGTTGTGGCAACATGCCAGGAGAGGATCAATATATGCATGCAGGCTCTGAAAGATGTCTCCAAAGTCTGGCTTGTGGCCAAGATGGTCCGTACTCTGTTTGAATCCATTCTGGGAAATAAAGTTCTTGAGGAGCGTCTCCAGAAAGCTGCAGGGAAAAGGCATCAAAGGATAAGACATGACCCGGCTCAACATCAGCCCACAAGGAAACCTGACCCGCCAAAGCGTAAATTTGACGATATGGACCTCGGTTTGCCAAACGGCGGTCCCACACCACCAGTCTCATATGAGCGCTCGCGGCCTCAGACGCCTGCAGTGACTCCCTCAAGGGAAATGGGACAGCCTGGATTGAACGTTCCCCAAGGCTCTCCTACTGGTCCTCCAGCGGGCAACTCTCGAGGTAATACGCGGCCGACAACTCCATTCAACGCTCAATTTTCCCTTCCTGCAACGCCGCCCGACCTGTTCCTGGTTACGCGTACTTCACCCAACCTTTCGCCTTCGCTTTGGGAAAACTTCCAGCCCGACCAGCTGTTCCCTGATGGCACTGCTATCTTCCCTGAGTTGACTTCCCCGCAGCACAATGCTGTCGATCCACAATTGCAGATGCCGTCTCAGCTACAGACGCAAGGCATGGATCAGCGACATATGATGCCTCATCAGATGTCCTCCCGAGGTCTTCCCGGAACACAGGGAAGCCCGGAGCTCATTTCGAACATGCCTCCCGGGATGGGTATGCAAGGTCAGCAGCCGCCACAGGTGTTCGGAATGGAGAATCAGCAGCCTTGGCCAATGGCCGGGTTAGAAGCAGCCCTACATACCGGGGTGGAGGCTGCTAGCCAGGATGACACCTGGAGTAATAGCTCCCGGAGTGGGCCAACAGCACCGACGACTTTGAACGTGGAAGATTGGTATGTTACGTAGTATGTACCTGGGTTCTCCTCATACTGATGGTTTGTTTCCTAGGTTCCAATTTTTCGGCATTAATGGTAGTTTCGGCGACCTGTCAACTTGAGCATGAATATGGAATGTATATGCGATGACGACCCTTCATCATGACAAGTGTATAATATCTCTTTTCTGCTTTACAGAGGCTACTGCATTTATCCGAGCCTCTTTCTTGATTGATGAGCTGTCTCATTGGTGGTGTACTAACGAAGGAATCTCCGGTGGACATACTAAATGGATGTGTGGCAATGCCACTTGTCGCTGTCTTCGCTCTGTACAATGACCTAGCGACAGACATGCGGGTGATTGCGACATGACATTTGCCTCAGTAGGACAAGGAAAAGTCACTCCTAAGACAGTTTCGTGTCTGGCGTACGGATGAGGAGTTTATGTGATATTGATGTTGGTTCCCTGTTTTTCTCTGAATAGTTGCATCTGAAGGGGATTTGGATGGGCTCTGGATGAGCTCCTGTACATACATAGAGATCTAAATCAAAGGATATCTAAAGGAAAGAAACCAGGCTCTCAATTTCTGCCTCAGGCGGCGAATGACGAAATCGACACTTACGTGGACCAGCCAATGAACGAGCAGGAGTGGGGAGGCCATCCTTACCGTGTCGGGTAAGATAGAATGAAGGACGGGGCGACTCTCGCATGACTCTTCCGGGGAACAATAAATATTATCTTTCTTCTTCTCCCTTTCATCCTTCCATTGATTTGGCAATCGTTTTGTGATTCCTTTCTTCTTCCTATACCCTACTATCTTAGGGGTATTCGTTTCTCTCGCTTCTACAGTGCTCTATCCTTCTTTCCGTCCTTGCCCCCCTCTCTCCGCTTATCCCCGCAGCGATGTCGGCTTCAGGATCCGGTGCCGCGCCCGCGGCTTCATCCTCAGCATATCCAGCAAAAAAGGCGTTCCCTAGCGTAGATCTCGAGGGTCACAATCTTCCTCCGTCACCTGCTCCTTCCAGTCCTCATACCGGAAGGCGCTATGCAATTGCCACAGAACTCGTCTACACCGACAGCGGTGACCAGTACAACGCCAGCAGCGTTCCCATCTACCAGGTACTGTCGTACCCCTCAAAGATACCCTACTATTGAGACAATGCTAGGCATGTACCAATAGTGCTAACCTTCATCGCTGCAGAGCGCCACTTTCAAACAGACATCTGGTGGTGGAGGCGGAGAGTATGATTATACTCGCTCCGGCAATCCGACTAGAACGCACCTTGAACGCCACCTAGCTAAGGTCATGTCCGCTCAGCGTGCTCTGGTTGTTTCCTCCGGCATGGCTGCATTGGATGTTATCACTCGGTTGCTTCGTCCTGGTGATGAAGTCGTGACTGGCGATGATCTTTACGGTGGAACACACCGTCTGCTTAAATACTTGTCGACCAATGGCGGTATCATCGTCCATCATGTTGACACCACTCAGCCGGAGAAGGTGCGGGAAGTGCTGAACGAGAAGACAGCCATGGTCCTGCTCGAAACCCCTACCAACCCTCTCATTAAGATTGTCGACATTCCCCAGATCGCTACCGCCGCACATGAAGTGAATTCTACCTGCCTTGTGGCTGTCGATAACACCATGATGTCTCCGATGTTGCTTAACCCTCTCGAACTGGGAGCGGACATCGTCTATGAAAGTGGAACGAAGTACTTGTCGGGTCACCATGATCTCATGGCTGGCGTGATCGCTGTTAATGACCTGGCTCTCGGCGAGCGATTGTACTTCCCAATCAATGCCTCTGGTTGCGGATTGTCTCCGTTCGATTCTTGGCTCTTGATGCGTGGAGTGAAGACCCTCAAGGTACGGATGGATCAGCAGCAAGCAAACGCACAGCGTATTGCGGAATTCCTCGAGTCCCATGGGTTCAAGGTCCGATACCCTGGGCTGCGGTCGCACCCTCAATATGACCTCCACCACTCAATGGCTCGTGGAGCTGGAGCTGTGCTCTCATTCGAGACAGGCGATGTGGGTGTGAGTGAGCGTATCGTTGAGAGTGCCAAGCTATGGGCTATCAGTGTTAGCTTCGGCTGCGTGAACAGTTTGATCAGCATGCCTTGCCGGATGAGTCATGCTAGTATTGATGCGAAGACGCGCCAGGAGCGCGCTATGCCGGAGGATCTCATCCGTCTGTGCGTGGGTATTGAAGATGCAGATGATCTGATTGACGATCTGACAAGGGCGGTAAGTTTGTCACTCTACATGCGCAGTTGATAACTTTGGTCTAATCCATTTCTTTAGCTGGTCCAAGCTGGAGCTGTCAACCTGACCTTGGATGATTTCCAAGCGAACACAACCAACAACTGATTTACGTATACATAATGTATGTTTTTGGGTTCTCATGGCGGAAAAATAAGTGCGTGGGCATGTCTCGGGTGGTACATTGATGCGGCGTTCGGAGCCTCTGCTATATTTTTTTTTCTAAAATTTTCTTGTACAAACTACATAAAGATGCTCTATAAAAGAAAGCAGTATCGATGTGTGATTATCCGAACCTGGTTCCCATGGCAATACTGCGGTAAAAAGTTTTGGGTCAAAAAAACTGGGTGGCAGCTATAAACGTATATCCGTGTCCTGGGGAATATTTGCCGGGGGATCGCTCGGCCGGCACCGGAGCGCTTCCGAGTCGCCGGTAAGGCCTTTATCGGCCGGTCCATTCTCGTCCGCGATGATAGTCAGCGAGTCAGCATATTGCTTTCCCCCCTACGCTCGGAAATTGAGATGTCATCTCCATTAGTTTCTGCTTCGGCAGGATGTCTTTGTAATTTGGTTACCCTGATTCCTCCTCTTGAGCTTTCTTTGCCCTACGCGACGTCTGCCCTGTTGGTATTTGCATGACGTCTCTTGTCAGCGTCGCGTCCCTTCGTTGAGGTTTTATCGTTGACTCATATTTGCTATATTTTGAGTCTACTGTCGTTCTGCGCCATTGAAGATTATGTCGGGAAATGCTATCTCCCCTGATGGAGCTCTCTCCATGCAGGCTGTCACTGAGCGGCCAACTTCCACTTGGAATACCAGCCGATTAGGTTCGCGACTGGGTGTGGATATCGCCAGCGCTGCCACAGCAGGCGCTTTGACGTGCCCTGTTATTACTGTTATCGATCGGTAAGCATGCAATCTCGCCGGTCTTTTGCTGCAAAGTCTGACATCAACTGCTTGATAGTGCGATCATCGAGAAAGCATCCAAAGGCATTCCCATTCGACAGACGATCACATCATGTTTCGGGTCTATGATTCGTCACCCCGCGGGCTTCTTCCTCAGTACACCATTTCTCCTTATATATACACTCTACACATCGACATATTTGACCGCCAATGCTATTGACACGATCTCGTCCACCATGCGCAACGAATCGTTTTCCTCCGTATTTGCCGGAACAGCCAAGTTCCTCGCCACGACAACGGTGAACATGGGAATCTGTGTATACAAGGACGCTAGGTTCGCGCGGATATTTGGCGCACAGTCCAAGCCTACACCATCTCCGTCATCCACAGCTGCCCACACGGCCTCTCCCCCGGCCTCCTGTCACCCCTCCGGCGCTGCCACAGTACCCAAGGTCTCCTATGCACTCTTCTGTCTCCGCGATAGCATCACCATATTCGCTTCCTTCAACGTCCCTACGTTAATAGCGCCATCGATCCCCGATTATATTGCATCGACACCCGGGATGAAGGCAGCGATAGCTCAATTCTCCTGTCCGGCCCTCATGCAATTTGCCAGCACACCCATGCACATGCTTGGTCTGGATCTCTATAACCGGCAACCGCCAGGAGGATTGGGATGGCGCGAGCGAGTATCACGTATTCGTCGTGATTATATCCCCAGCTGTTTTGCCCGGATGGGGAAGATCGTACCCGCATACGGTGTAGGAGGTGTGGCTAATGTGCGGTTAAGATCTGCTATGATGCAATATCTAGAACGGACGGAAAAGTGATCGTTCTCCCTACTGCCTCTTCTCTGCTTTTTTTT